GGGCAATGTATTGAGGCTCTGTCTCTTAAAAAAAAAAAAAAAAATTAGCCAGGTGTGGTGATGTGTACCTGTAGTCCCAGCTTCTTGGGAGGCTGTGGTGGAAAGATTGCTTGTACCCAGGAGGTTGAGACTATGGTAAGCTGTATTCTCACCTCTGTACTCCAGCCTGGGCAATGGAGTAAAGACTGTATCTCTTTAAAAAAAAAGTTGATGACAGAAATACGCAAGGAAGGGTGCACCTCTCCTTCTGGATAATGTATTTCATTCCAGATATCAAAACTATCTCCAGCTGGAATACATACATATTAGAAGAAAGTTGAATGTAAATGTGGTAGTGACATTTTGGGCTTTTAATGTCTTAGTTTCCTTAGTAGCAAAAAGAGTTTTTAAAAATCCATGTTGAAAAAGAGGGAAAAAGTTAGGACTTGTTACTAATCTCGTGGCTGAATAATTAAGTGTGCCTAATTCTGAAAGTAGCAAGCTAAATTATGCAGTGCCAAAAGTGACAACTCTTATACCTACACCATCCCGTCTACAGCAGCATGATTTTAGCTTTATAGCTAAAAAACGCTGCCAGAAAACCTAATAAAAGGAAGCAAAAATATTTCTGTTTATATCAAGCTGCCATTTGAGAAAGATTTTAAAATATGTTCTTTCCTATGTGTAAATCTGACAGCAGATGCATAATTAAAACCCCAGTGGAGAGTTTCCATTTAATCTTTTCAAAGTTAACTGATAAACATCCTTTAGGATGTGAGGTGATGGGTTAATTCTCTTTGGATTGTTTGGAATATGTTTGAGCTGGAATACTGTCTTCAAGAACATTGTTTCGTGCTAAAAGAACACAAGATGGTATCTTCAGGAGTTCATACAATCACAGGAGGTGCAGACAACATGCCAGAGGTCACACATGCATCTATGATGAGTGATGTTTGTCTTAGATGTTTATTAATTGGGGGAATGAATAAATGAATACATTCACATTAAAGCAAACTTGATTTCAACCCCTAGGGAATATGTCACATACATAAATGGGAGAAATAATAATTACCCAGGATTTCAGTTCTGTGTAAGCAATCAGTATGAATAATTTAGACTACAAAGTGGATTTTTATTTCGCTTGAGCTATTCAGATTAACTTTCTACACAGCCTGAACGGCTGCTGAATAATCACAGGCAAAATTTTCCACTGGTACTGCACTGTGTAGACACACGTGTATCTACACGATTGCAAACTGCCCAGCTGTGGATATGGGGCCCTGTTCAAACCAAATGTCAGGACAAACATTCTACTTCATCGTGCTGTTCCATGTAACCTTGAGTACACACAGCCGTACCTAAACCTGTCATTACGTCTTCTACCAGATGAAAGGCCATTCCTGTTCCTTCTTCCCCTCCTCTATACACATGTGCTCTCAAGAGTGTGTGTGTGCACGTGCCCGTGCATGTGCCCACACACATACACACACTGGTGCAAAAAAGGGCAGAAAGAAAGTGACTTCTGTCCTTAGACCACAGTTTGCCAGAAGCTCTCATACTTGCTAGTGCCCCATCTCTGCCCTTTAGGCTGGCTCTTGCCTGTCTAGCTATCTAAGACTTGCCAGATGTTTCTAACTTGTCTGGTCTGTAACATCTGTCTTATCCTTCAAGTTTTCTCTGGACTTAATCAGTTGATGACGTGACCAATAGACCAGCACACCAGTCCCTGCCCTGGACACACACACACACACACACATACACACACACACACACTCTTACACTCAGATAGACAGATAGACATTATTAAATACTTCAATCTCAAACAAGAACGTTCCCACCAATTATATGCATGAAATTGGTGGATATTGCACAACTTGGTTTCTGGACCTAGCTGAACCCCTCATTAACTGTGTGACCACTGACAAGTCCCCTAACCCTGTGCCACATGAGATTGGACCAAAGGTCCCCTTCTTGTTCTAATCATCTTCAGTGAGGATGGCCAAGATATGTTGCTCATAAATGCTGCGATCCAGCTGCCCATGTTGGGATATGCCTTAATCTCTGCCATGTAGCATAAGCTTTAACCTTTCAAAATACAGCCTGATACACACAATCATGTTATTGAATGAATGGAAGGAAAGATTTCCTATACTAAAGTCTAGATGAACCATATATCTGGGTCTACACAACACACACACACACACATACATATGTCCTTTTGATTAGGCAGTATAAATAACTAAACCAAATCATTTTGTTCCCCTGAATTCCACAGCCCTGTATGAACCATATACACTGTGAAACTCATCAAATAAAACGGAGTACATGCTAATTGTCCTCTTCACTGGATAAAGAAGCAGATAAAGAATTCTGACTGCCCATTTTTTGTGGACTGAGCTTTGGCTCCCTGATCTGTTGAACCCATAAAAGCATCAATAATAATAATGATGGTCTCTGAAGATTCAGGCCATTTAAGAGAACGGAACTATGTAAGCAGAAGAGAAACTGACCTGTGGAGATCTTTACTTAAACCTCATCCAAATGCATTTTGCAAAGAGAAAGCTGAAATGCCAATACGCTACTTGGGGATTCGGCGGAACTTATCTGACTGATGGAAGTGACCAATTTGAACCACTGACCCCAGAATATCCCAGCAGCGGCAATAACCAGCACTGTGTGGCTGTCTTGGCATCCCCACAGAGGGCTGTTTCAACCCAGGGCTGTACACCGGCTGGTTTGAATGTTTCCCCGCAGATTTTGGAAGCAACGTGCTGGGTCACTCGTAACATAATCACATGCTTCAGTGTAGCCCTCCTACATTGCTTGCCTACATCTGAAAACACAAATCAAGAAAGAGAATATAGTTCCTTTCCACTTGACTAAGGAACAGCCAATCCTGCCAGTAGACTAAAGGCTGGGGCATGGAACAATTTCCCAACACACTGACTTGATTTTGTGTAAATTACTGAAAGAGAAGCTTTAGAAGCTGTGGCTGGGCTCAGAATCAGTGCCTCCAAAGGGGTACCGAACGACAGATTGATGGAGCCCATTAGAGAGGCACAGAGACCACAGACCATTGGAATGGGGCTTTATTTGGATGGACTCATGGCCTAAAAAGGAAAGGGACACTGCCAACAGCTTTCCCTTTAGCCTGTGGGTTCCATTAGGAAGCCAGAACATGTCACTGGGAAAAAGTGTTGTGGCCACCCAATATGTGCACAGGTGCCTCCAGGTGGAAGAAAGGGAAAGGGTGTGTTTACAAGAGGAAGAGCACAAGTCAACAATGAGCTATGGATGCATGATGTCATCCTCCAGGACTAAGCATCCTTAGTACTTTTAAAGCATTTAAAAAAAAAAAAAAAAAACTCTAGTTGCTATAGCAACTTGATGCAGCTCTTAAAAGGGGATTTTTGAGGGGGTCATTTTATATCTCCTATCACCATAACAACATGATATAGCTTTTTAAAGGATATTTTTATCCAATTTGTGTGTGCCTTGGACGGGGGCCATATTTGCCTTTTCTATTTAAAATAATCAGATCAAGCATGACACATGAAAAATCATTGAAGGCAAGGAAGTGCTTTCATAGACTATACATATACACTTAGAGAGACATCTCTAGCTGCTCATATGCTGCACATGGAGGCAGCCTCTCTCCCTGCCTCCAACCAGCCATCTGCTATGGCTTATCCTGGTCAGTTACAGTCCATGCCTCTGTATCTGAACTGGCATACCAAACCACTCCAGAACGTGTGTCTATGAAATCCCTCACTTCTCAAGCCCAGCAAATCCAACCCCCTCCTCCAAAACTGCACAGGAGACAGTGCCTTGGGGTGACTAGAGGTGTGACCAGCCAAGTGCCTTCTTCCATCCTGGGATTCAAAGCAGGAGTTGGGGACACACAAAGCCTTGTCAAGGTGATAAGCATGCATTTCTGCTGCACTCTATACAGGTGAGTGGGGGGGGGGCTTTGTTTCACATGACACCCAGGGAAAGTGGGGGATGGGAAAAGCGAGTGAAAGGAGAGGAAGAAAGAGGAATGAAGGGGTGGATGGAGAGCAGGGGTGGCTCCAGAATTTCTCCACAGGAGCTCAGAGGCAGCAGTCTGGCAACACAGAAAGGGGCGGGGGCTTGAAGGACTCTTTACACAGCATTCTTCATAAGGTTGAGAAAACGTAAACTGTTTATATCCAAAAAAAGGGAGAAGACATGATGGAAAGAATAGGGGAACTATCACTGCTCCCAGCTACCCCTTGGTACCACTAATGGTTGGAAAAAGTGGCAAGGGAACAAAGAAACGGTCAAGAAATTGGAGAAGGGGCTGGGAGTTGGGGGAGAACACAAGGAAGGGAGGCAGAACAGCAGCTGAAGTCCTGGCCTCAGGCTAACGGGTTTTATTTTGCGGGGCGGGTAAGGGGCGGTATAGATTGTAGGAGAAGCAGGTGGGAAGGAGATCTAGGGAAAGTGATTCTGGGGCAAGTGGTCACCCTCTCCAGGGTAAAGGAGTTAGAGGCCACTGAGGGGGAAAACACAGGGTAAAAGAAGAAAGGGGGAAGACTATGAAAAGAAATAAAAGCGCTTAGGGTGGAGAGAGAAGGGGCTTTTTAGATCATCCTGGAGAGGAAACTGAGGCCCGGGGGTTGTGGGTGGAAAATAGGAAAGAACCGGTAGCCGTGGCACGTATTCTTAGAGGAGAAAACGGAGGCTCACAGAGGTCAGGTCACGGAGCCGGCCAGTGTTGGAGCGCAGGCGGCCCGGATTCTCCCCCATTAGGCCACACTGCCAGGCAAACCACCGCGGGGTGAGCGCCAGAGGTGGGCTTTCCTCCGTCACTGAAAGCCGAGAGGGAGACAGAGACAGAACGGGGTCCGGCGGAGAAGAGAGGGCCAGACAAAAGTAAGCAAAGGGACATTAGAAGGGAAGGGAGAGCCGAGGGACGCTGACCGAGCGGCCGAGCAGTGAAAAGGGCGGCAGGTGAAAGGCACAGAGAGGAAAGACGCGCGGGGGGGCGCGCCGCTCACCTATGGTTGACACCACGGTGCCCACGAAGTAGAAAGCGCCGGGGAAGTCCCA